ATCTGACAGTTCTAGTCTTTTCCTGAGAGACACTTCCTCGCTCCAAGACAGAGGAGATATCCCAACTCATCCCGAGTGACCTTTGGTCCTTATAAGCATCATCTCGGCAATCTCATCAGCTTTGAGGTTGGCCAGGAAAGACTCGATCGTCATTTCCTCGACGTTCAGTATCTCTGCAACCTCTGGCAACGGTTCCAAGATGACACCAGATGTCTTGACGGGTAAACCGGTCTCGCCATCGAAGATGTGATAGCACTTTTCCACCGGTAACACTCGTCCACCGCCCTGTTGGAGGAGCCCGGGCCCTGGACTCCGAGGCGACGTCGATCTGAACGAGGTTCAGGTCCGACACTCGGCGGCGGCGTCGTCGTCGAGGGCGACCGTGACGTAGAACTTTGTTACCCACGTCTGGGGATGTAGGAGCGCCGTCATTCGAGGCACTCGAGGCCTCGTGTGGTACGGTGTTATCCACACAGGAAGCGTGTCCGACGTCTTCCTCTTCAGTTAAGGTCTGGGCGACCGCGTGTAGCACTCTGTTACTCACCTTGAACACGCTATTACCAGCGCTCGTGACAGCTACAGCTGTCTGCGGAACTATGTTACCCGCTTGTGGATCCAAGCTACTCACTTAGCCAGCGCCTCCTCTGGGCGCCGCCACTATCGAAGCATCCTCGGAGTTGTCATATACGTCGACGACTCCCAAGCATCTGCTAAATTCTTTTGTATCCTGGCAACCCTTGCGGGCGCCTCGGGTCCTGACAGAGGTGGGAACATGACTCACCAATGCTCTGCCGGACTTCGCAGAGCTGCTGGCACCGATTGCCTTGCCTCGCCAGTCGATCCAGGGCTCGTGCTCCTCAAGCCAGGGCATGCCCAGCATCATATCGTAGGGATCCATGTCGAGAACAGTGAACTGTTCGAGGCTGTCAAAGTCTTCAAACTTGACGGCCAGATCCACTTGGACGTAGGGGACAGTGACGACCTTCCCGTCGGCCAGTCGCACGGCCACCGTTCCGTTGCCTTTGCTTTTTCTTAAAGCATCGGACAACTTGTTGTTATTACGAGCAACCATCCGGCGGCGTGCGAAGCTCTTTGACGCCCCAGAATCGATCAAGATTCTAAAGGGGAGATCGTATCCCCGTAGACATCCATGTACTACAAGCAGCCCGTCGCTGTTCTTCGCCGATTCGAGAGTGCGAAGACTCTCAGGGACTAAGTCCCCGTGGTACGCACCACCCGCGCACCGCTTACGAAGACTTTGTTTTTTTTCAGTAGGGCGTCCCCGCCCCCAATTGGTCTCCGGTGTTCCCCTGTCCCCAAGATCCTGGCTTCTGCCTGCGATCCTTGAGGACGGGCTTAGGGGAAGTCCGCCTGCGGTGTCTCTCCGTGGGCCATTCATGCTTGAAGTGTCCCAGCTTCCCGCAGCCGAAGCAGCGAATGTCGCACTGCTCGGCGGCCCGAGTTCCATGGGAACTGGTCCGGTGGGGTTTGCTCAACAGGGATTCGACAAAGATCTCCCTGGCCATGCTGAGGCCGGCGTGCGCGCCTTGCGATGACTCTATTCTTTTTTAAAAGCCACTTGAATCGCCTCTTCGAGGGTACTTGACTGCACCCAGAACAGCTGAGTGCGCACCGGGCCCACTCGAAGGCCGTCCATGAACACAGTCACCTTGACGTGTTCGTTGAGAGCGCTGCCCACTAGGGACGCCGTGAGCTCCCGTATCTCTTGGACGTACTCGTGCAGCTCGCGCCTTCCTTGCTTGCAGGAGAGGAAGCGCGAACGCCGCCGGTACTCGTAGCTCGCCGGGAGGAGCGCGGCTCGGAGCTGTTCGCACAGCCGAGCCCAGGATGTGAAACATCCAGACGATGTCGCTTCCTGCGTGTACACCCAACTCTTAGCACGACCGCTAAGGTTGGAGAGTGCAAAAGCAACGCGAAGTTGCTCGGTCGAGATCCGAGCCGCGTCCATCGCGAGCCCTACCTCTCAAACCCAGAAGTGAAGGTTCCCACCTTCCTTCTCTTCATACGGCTTCACCTTCAGCCGTATTGGCTTCGGTGTGGCGGACTTGTTTCCGCCGCGGGAGCCTGCAGGTTTTCCCGCATATGTGCGATGAGCCCTTGCTCGTAAGCGTCAAACGCGTTGACACGCTCGAGCTGCTCTGCCGGTGCTGACGCCACCAGGCTCTGCAGGTTCTCCATCCCTAGGATGCCAGCCATCTTCCGAACCGACTCGAACTGTGAGTCGTTTAGATGGGAGAAGTCGTTCCTATTCATGGCGACGAACGTCAGAGAGGTTCAGGTAGTCTACCCGCGTTGGCGTGGGTTGACTAGGGGTCACACAGCACCTTGCGCTAGAGAAAGTTGGCTTCCGAGAGTTTACAAAATCTCAGTGAACAGTAGTTCACAGGTCACTTTTGTCCTAGAGAGCGAAATGACCAATTTAAGGTAAGCTGTAAGCTGAATATAGTTGAAGGTAGGCTAAGCTTGAGCAAAATTTACAAACTATAAGTCACCTATAGTAAAGCTATGTCATCAGCCAATGTTTGGCCCAGGACGACCCTAGTACCATGTACCAGATATCCCAAAGTGTGACATGTCACACTTCATGTAACTAGGGGTCCACTTGGGGGTACCCCGTTACAGAATGGATGTCATGAGACTGCAAATCTCCAAAAGTGGAGGACTTGGCGTGAATTCTATCACCCTCCTAAACCCAAACCCAGACCTTCCTGGGCATTAACCCTATAGAGCCGAGCGAGATTTAACCATGCTTGGACCTGGGCTTCAGCTCGCATGCTTCGCACACAGATTTTAATCCACACGCAAGCATTTGTGTTGCCGAGCGAGTCGGCTTTCATCCCCTCCTCCCTATTTAATACTTTATGGGGAAAATCGTTAGCTTACAGATCTCAAGTAGCCCCCCTTGTGTCAATAGTCACTCTCATAAAGGAAACATGAAAAACATAATCTTCAAATTTTCATCCTCTGGTGAAATTGGCCAGCGATAACCAACCGATCCGCGGTGTCGATTACAGTACCTGTTCATTTTCAGAGAGGCAAACCTTTCTGTTTTTTACTATACCCGTCCGTAGTTACGGCTAAGCCTTAGCCGAACGGGTACGGTTAACCATTTCCGACCTCTGGTGTACATGTACTAAACAAAGATGCAAATTCAATTAATATTTTTCGCTTTAACATTTTCAATTGTTACACCAATACGCTTCTTATTGAAAAATGTTAGCAATGATTGTTTTCATTCAGATACCTATGCTGAAAGTACAACGCACACGCGAGAAAGTTTCCACCTCAGTACGTCGTCTACTGTACATACCTGAGCAAGCGTAACATTTAGCCAACCAATCTCACAAAGCGTTCAGCTCTTTATCGCTGCACCAACGATTGCGCTAGTAGCAATTATGTAGTAGTTGTAAGCTCATGCGGCTATCCGTTTCTAGTACAACGGGTGGCCTTAAGGGAAAACAGATGAGAAGAAGAAACCTCTGACCTTTGTTAGGAAACTACTACAGGTTGGTTACCAGCGAGCACTAGGTAAATTCCTTCCACCCAAGGTAGATTATTTATTACAGTCCTTGTCTATCTAAGACCTGCTATCAATAACTTACAGGATTTGCGTCTCCGTGGTGTACCTTTTGGCACGCTTGCTTCACATCTACTACTGGCTGCGACCATATAGCCCGGTCGGTTTTGCGGCCACGATTGCACTAGGAGAAAACCACTGTATCTTGGTTACCAACGAGCCCTAGGAGCAGCGATCGGAAAATACAATACTGTACTGTATTGGGAGCAACGTTTTGCCGTAATTAAAATTCCAATTTGAGCACTTCCAATAATAAAAACTGTCGTAATTTAAATATGTTGCAGCAATATCTAGCTACGTCGTGCCCTACCGTGTACTCTTGTACCAGCCATGACCCCCGAGAGTATGCTGGCCCGATTGTCAACTGGTCAAGCCACACCAAGCTCCTCATTTTTTAAAGTCGTTATCATGTTCTGTTGTACTACCTACCACTTGTAGGTCTGACGACGGCTGCCCGGTTAATTCTTGAAATCCATCCAGGAAACTATTATAAATAGTAGTCTTGCCCAACTTGATTAGTTTTATCAGCATATATTCTATCTGCATCTTACAAATCGGGGTCATCTTCGAATTCTGAAGTGTCATCTTCTGAGTCCATGTTATCCTGGAGAGCCTCCAAGAAAGACCGGCACCAGGGCAATTCAGCTGCTTCCTTCTCCAGTTCCTTAAGACTTTGCTCCAGACTGTCAGGTAGACTCGTTTTTTTATCTTCTACTGTGTTTTTCGTTAATTTTTACGTGGCATTGCCGGCAAGTCAGGAAATATGGTGTGGTGGACCACGAAAATGATGTCATCGGATCTGATAGGCGATGCCAGATCGGAACGAGTCCTATCAGGCCCTTTGCCATTTTTTTTGTCAATAATTGGTCCAATACCATATTGTATTGTCAAGGTTTGCTAATAATAATAAAATTTTATGTTGCAAAACCCAATAATTTATTGAATCGCAATTATTTTTTCCGACCTCTGCCTGGGAGAAAACAAGCTACATAACATGCATAAAACATAGTAAACACATCTGAACTTACTTCATCAAGCACAAGTCGGCCGGTATTAAGGCTACGTTCGATTTCAAGACCAAGTTCAGTTTGTCAACTGTCAAGACACTACAAAGTATACCTTAGCTGTGTGCGGACAGCGAGTCAGCAAGTTCCGAAGGGACAATCAACAGCACCAACATTGACCACCGCAAGAGGAGGACTGGACCAAGCGGAGCCGTTTCAACACGCACGGTGACGTCGGCAACACCAGCGTGGTGCCAAAGGGAGTTTCGCTGCAAGAATCTCCACTGATTGCTAGGTTCGCACATGAAGACCTAGTCAAGTGGAAATATGAAAGGAAACGTACGGTAGAGAATCGCCGCTTGGAGGCAGGCGAATCAGTGGAATCGCTTGGACGGCCAATGCTGAAGGGCACTAACAAGCGTTTGTTGAAGTCGTTCTCGGAGTATACATTGCGGATTCAGGTGTAGAAGATGACGGAAGAGCGTTCACTGGCTGCAATTGAGCTGATTCTTGGTGGTATCATGAAACTACTGTCGGAATCATATCACGTCATCTGAAGATGGATTTGGCTCAAAAAGTTGTGAAGTCACGTGTTTTGGCGTATTTCGATCGCATACAGGAACTGGTTGAGATACAAGGTTTAGGCAATTGCCTACAAGACATTTTGAAGTTGAAGTACAAGAGTATTGTACACGAAAGGAGCAAATCAAACGTTCTATTAATTATGATTCGTCGTTGAAATCGAATTTGCATCGTCTTTTTTATGTTTTCAAAAACGTGGCCATTAAAAAAAGCAAGAAGCGTATGACATTGCTCCGCAAATGGGGAAAAGCGAGAATGCTGGCCATGTAGCCGAGTTGCACTAGGTAATTCGCCATCCGCTGTCATATAGGCCTGGTACTCCTGGCTCTCAAGCGCTAACATTAATTGCAAGAAACCCTTGATGCAGCCTGCTGTCTGTTTATGCTCGTTACCTCTAACGTCGTCGAGGTGTGTATCGTTATCTGTCATCCCGCCCGCCAAAGGCTCAGTCAATGCATTCACCGAACGGAAATTAATTGTGTGTCTCTACTCATTATCATTTCTAGGGTTTCTGTCGCGGGTCTCGAGATAAAGCTCAATGGACTGCGGTGTCACCACCCAGCGCTGAACTAGTGGTGTTGGTGCTTGGCAAAACTGGACAGGAGGACAGGTGCAGGAGCGCCGGGCAAGACTGGCCCAACTGATGCTTGAACTGTACCCAGGACTCGCCGGAAGATGTCTAGTGTGGCTGGCAGAAGATGACGGCAATACCGGCAATTGCATGTTGCGTATTATAGCGACCGTGGTCGCTGGACAAGGAGCGTAGGACAGGATAGTCTCTAAGTAGGCGTCTAGGAGGAACGACGAGATAGAGACTTTAGTCCGGTAGCCTGCTCAATAACAAACTTTCCGCTTTGGACTCACCCGGGAAGGGCGATAAAGTTAACTCAACGCAACAGAATCGTTGCGTTTGTTATCCGAAGGTTGCAGGAGTGTAACTGACCCTTCAACTAGTTCGGCTCAAGCGTTAAGTTCGCATCGGCCCCAGTTAAGTTCGATTTGCGCGTTAAGTTCGCATCAGTCGGAATCCAAGGTTTTACGGAGACGGCATGACGGGGACGCGCTGCACGGTCGACTAGGACGGAGACGTCGAGATGACCGTGCCACAGCCAGTGTACGAGTTCATCTGTGCCCCACCGCTGGCCAAGTCGGAGCAAGGAGCTCTGATCCCCTGGTACCGTGACTGGAATCACTACCAGGACAAGATTACCAACGCTGTGTTGTAACTGGGGAAGGCTATACTAGTGTGATATCCACAGTAAAGGGAGCCGTAAAGCCTGAGGTTCTACAAACGATGGCGCGGTTCCAAAAAGGGAAACCAGGGGAGGCTGTCACGGATGACGAAATCCTCCAACTCGTTCGACAGCGCTGTCAGACGTTAAAGAACGAGTACATTCCAGGTATCAAACCTCTGTTCAAATGGGAGCTACGGATGGACCTGTCTGTTGACGACTGTGACGCTCGCGTTTTTCAGTAATTCCAGGACTTCACACGCATTGTGGAGGAGAATGGCTTTCAAAGTCTAGCACTCTTTATGTAATCTGGGGTACACTGGATTGTACCCCGTTACAGAATGTGTGACGGGGTCACACAGCACCTTGCGCTAGAGGAAGTTGGCTTCCGAGAGTATACAAACTCTCAGTGAACGGCAGTTCACAAGTCCCCTTTTACCGAAAGGGAGCGAAGTGACCAATTTAAGGTAGGTTGTAAACTAAGTAAGTTTATAGATAGGTTAAGCTTGAGTTAAATACAAATTATAAGTCACCTATAGAAAAGCAATGTCATCAACCAATGGTTGGCTTTGGACGACCTTGGTACCTTGTACAAATATTCCCGAAGTATGACGTGTCATGCTTCTGAAGTGTGACGTGTCACACTTCATGTAGCTAAGGGTACACTTAGGGCTATGCACCCCGTGACAGGATGGGAGCGACCGCTGTATTTTCCCGCACAAATCCGAGCACCGCGTCGTTTCTAAGGGTTTCAACACCAGCCCCATCATACTCGATATATGTCTCCTCCTCGTTCGCCACCGCTTCAAGCTGCTCATCGCTAAGACGCTCCTCGTATACTCGTAGCGCCACGCGAGGTAGCGGCTAATTCCACGGAAATAGATCTTGACTGTCATCTCGCCTATCACATTGTTCTTGACAGCCTCGACTTGTTTTGCAAGATGTGTTTGATTGCCCCAAGCTGTGCTCGTCTACTACAGACAGCCTGAGTAACATGATATGCTGCTATACCTGATAGATGAGTCGTCCACAGGTTATATCAGGTAGGACAGGTTTTTCTGTACCCCTCCCTGATTGGGGTCATAACATGAGGTGTCGCAGGGCGCGTCACCGGGCTGCTCTCAAGCTGCCTATCGCTTCTTAGAGTAAGTGCCATGGGGCAACTGACACTATAGTAGCAGTAGACGCAAGAGCAGGTAGAAGAAGTACGTTTAACACAGTTAGTGCCGGGGAAATCTCGACTGGACCGTGTGGGGCAGTCGCTTGCTGCTGATAGCAAAAGTCGAAGTGAAACACTGCCACGAGCGCCAGCGTTCCGCAAAGTAGATTAGTTCATAGTATCTTCAAGTAAGTCTATAGTAAACATCAATAAGATGCGCGGCAACACTTGTGCGGTGACTCACTGCCAACCATGTCTCGATGCATACAAACATCAGTATGTTTGTACTCGGTTCCGCTGCAGTCGCGAAGCCGGAGTGCAGCACAGCCGTATTGCCATGCGTATGATTGAGAGCAGGATCGGGACTTGTACTGTAGCATGTATCGTAGGGACTTCAACTCACACCCCCACTTGATCTCGGCGACGTGAGCCAAGTCGACGCGATCACACTCGTAGCTACGATCACGGACAAGCCACCCGTACTAAGCTCGAAAGCAGGATAGATCAAAGCTCCACGCGTAAAGCCAGCCACGCAAGTGTAGCATTAGTATGCATCCTTCTCCTTGGTCATCAAATGTTGCAGCTTGAGCAGAAGTATCGAGTGATGGCGAACAGTCGTCATAGCAGCCGTAGATGAGGCACTTTCCTCGCGTGTCGTTGTGGTGCCATCTTCACTGTCCTTACCGTCCTCATCGTCCTTAGCGCTCTTCATTCCAATCGGTAAGACCTTCATGGCCTTACGAAAGCGCGCAAATTTAACGACAGCAAGCGCCTTTGTCATCGTGTCAGCCACCATGTCCTCAGTACCAACGTGCTGCGTAGTGAGCTTCTCTAGCTCCACGCTACGCCGCACCATGTGGCACTTGTTGTCGATGCGCCTCGAATTCGAGTACTTGCCTGGTTTGGTGCTCAACGAGATTGCTCCCTCGTTGTCACCCAGCAGCAACGTTGTTAGGTGCTTCCAGGCTAACTCATTGCATTGACCAGCTAGCCATAGTAGATCCTTGGTAGCTTCTGACATCGCCACATACTCAGCTTCACATGTGCTTAGTGCGTTAATCTCCTGCTTCCGTGAAGCATAGAAAATCACGTTGACATCCAGCATGCTAATGTAACCGCTAATACTGCGACGATCAGCAGGATCGTTTGCGTAGTCGGCATCAGAATAGCAGCAAATGCGAACACCCGTTCCAGGTTGCACGTCCATCACAAGTCCGTAATCATTCGTAACCTTGAGGTAGCGTACTAGTCTTTTGGTTTGGGCAAAGTGCAAATGATTGTAGCTCGCTAGGAACTTGCCAAGATGTCGCGTCGCGTGTGCAATGTCAGGCCGCGAGGCACTGACGAGGTACTGCAGTGCACCTACTAGTTCTCGATAAGGCAGGAATTCCTTGCTCGTAGGCACTGCTGTTATCGAAGGTGTCGCCGACACAGGTGCCGCACACCCATTGCAATCCGACATGTGGAAACGTTTGAGGATCTCCAGTACATACTGCCGCTGACTGTAGATAATCTGTTGGCGCGGCCGATTAATGATGATCTCAGCTCCAAGGAGATACTTCACTGCTCCCATCGTAGTCAGCTCAAACGTCTCTTGCAAGGAAGCAGCAGCTTCCAGGCATACTTCACGTGGTCCCATCAGCAGTAGATCATTCACGTAAACCGTCAATAAAAGCTTCACTTCACAGTTCTCTTTCTGTGCGTACAGACCATAGTCAGAGTCCAAACGTTAGAATCCCTTCGTCATCGACTTTGCGTGTAGTGTCGTGTTCTAGATGTTCGATGCCTGCTTCAAACCGTACAAAATCTTGAGGAGCTTGCAGATAAAGCCTGGTCCGTCCACTTGGAACCCGGGCGGCTGTTCCATTAAGATGAGCTCCTCCAAATCTCCGTAGAGAAATGCAGTCTTCACATCGTATTGTAGAGCCTTCCAGCCACACTGCACTGCATAGTAGATGGCAGCTCGAATGGTTTCGAATCGTATCACTGGTGCACAAGTCTCGCGAGAGTCTACCCCCAGCTGCTGCTTAAAGCCGTGAATGACGAGACGAGCTTTGAATCTCTTGATTCTCTCACGCTCATCTCGTTTGACTGCAAATACCCGGCGACACGTGATAACTTTTGACGACCTTGGCTACCGCTCGTGGTACCAACTTCCATGTCTTAAGGCTCTTTAGTGTTTGCAACTCTGCAAGCATGGCTGCTTTCCATTGCAACCAATTCTTGCTCAGGTGGTCGGGATCTCCATGTCCATGCCGTGGCCAGCACATGGCTTACCACATAATCCCGTAGTCGTACGCTCTGTTTCTGCGTTCGTCTTGGGCGCTTTAGGCATGGCTCGACCAGTGGCTGTTGAATCTCAAATCCGGTCACCTCTTCCTCAGTTGAAGCAGGTTTCTTTCGCGCTCTTCGCTTGCGCTTCTTCTTCGCTTTGGTAGCCACTTCTGTCTCCTCAGCCGGCTCTTGCACGCAGCAACACCTGGCTGCAACTCAGTACTGTTAGTAATCGCATTGGCATTAGTCGTAGGTGAGTCAGCCGTCGCCGCACTCCCACTGGAACTCTGCACATTCTCAGCTGTAGCGTCTGCTATTGGTAGCGCTTCAAGTTGTTGAGCAGTGCACACGTCCTTTATTCCAGGCAGATATGTCTCCATGCTCGTCTTTATCCGTGCCACCGGAACAGTCTCAGGTAATTGATGGTCTCCATCATGGAATGCATTCTCCAGTAACTGCTTCATGTACGTCCCGTTCGCCGTGAATTCTTCATGGAAGCGCACGTTGCCCCCACGAGCAGTGACCACCTGAGCTGTCTCTAGATTAAGAAACTTGTAGCCAACAGTAGTGTCATTATAACCGAGTAATAATGACAGCTTTGCCCCTTCTCTTTCTTTTGTCTCGATTCCGGAGGCACCCGCACATGTGCAATACATCCCCAGAATCGTAACTCATCGATATCAGGTGCACTTCGAAATAGCTTGTGAATCGGAGTGACCAGCCCCAGTGGCTTCGTCTGTAGTCTGTTCAGTGTGGCAGCTATATGCAGTAGTGCCTCACCCCACAGGGTTTTTGGTAGCCTCGTAGCACTCAGCATAGCCCGAATCCGAGGCATCACGACTCCATTTGCTCTCTCCACAATTCCGCTCTCTTGTGGTGAATAGGCGTTCGTGAATTGCTGTTCGATACCATTCTCTGCACAGTAATTGGCCAGCTCAGTACTCGCAAACTCGCCGCCTTGGTCCGATCGTAATCGTTGAGCCGCAAGTTTAGGTAGCTACGTCTTCAGTTGAGTCAACAGCACCTTGATATGCCATGTCGCTTCACTCTTCTTTTCAAGTAAATACGCCCACTTGTATCTAGCTGACTCGTCAATGATGAGAAGAAACATGATATGACCAGCCCCAGTGGCTTCGTCTGTAGTCTATCCAGTGTGCCAGCCTATATGCAGGTAGTGCCTCACCCCACAGGGTTTTGGTAGCCTCGTAGCACTCAGCATAGCCCGAATCCGAGGCATCACGACTCCATTTGCTCTCTCCACAATTCCGCTCTCTTGTGGTGAATTGGCGTTCGTGAATTGCTGTTCGATACCATTCTCTGCACAGTAATTGGCCAGCTCAGTACTCGCAAACTCGCCGCCTTGGTCCGATCGTAATCGTTGAGCCGCAAGTTTAGGTAGCTACGTCTTCAGTTGAGTCAACAGCACCTTGATATGCCATGTCGCTTCACTCTTCTTTTCAAGTAAATACGCCCACTTGTATCTAGTTGACTCGTCAATGATGAGAAGAAACATGATATGACCAGCCCCAGTGGCTTCGTCTGTAGTCTATTCAGTGTGGCA